AACTCAGCGCAGGGCTCGGACTGTCCAGTGTGACCATTGTCATATCGATGATTTCTTGCGAAAACCAATCGATGGATCGTTTATATTTTCCTATAGGGCTCTTCCTTTTTTCCGTATACAAACGTGATGAACTACATTATTATACTATTAACAAAAAATATATAGAAAGTATGTTTTCTTGCGAAGGTCGACATTGTTATATTTTTTTTTAAATATATTTTCAAGCTAAAAGTAATTCAGGATTGTTAAATTTTTTAATTTTACCGGATTACCTAAGATATTCCTCATTCATTGAGCGTAAAAATATGTGATTAAAATACATTATATATCATATGTTTTTTTTTTGTAGAAAGTTGATTGTTTTTTTTTCTGAAAAAGACCACTTTGTATTGTTACATAAGGATAAAAAGTATTTTTTTCATTGCCATAGCAAAATATATCGATAAGTTTCCGAGACCGTATCTAACACTATTTCTGACCCTATAAGATGGCGCCAAAATTAGAATTTGAACGACCCGTGCCAGTTTGTTGGCAAATATACGAGACGTAAATATAAATCAGTTTACGCGACACATTTTTGTAAAAATGAACAATTTCAGTTACAAAAATTCTCAATTTTTAATAAACCAGTTGTCGAACATGCACTGGCAATTAAAACATACAATGCATGCAGATAATAGTGTGGCGACATAATTATTTAATCCATAAATACATTTTCCCCTGTATGGTATGCTTCACAGGATTGATCTTCTTTAGAATCTTGGTCATGGTCTCGACCAAGCGATCGCTAGAAACGCCTGTCTTTTTGTTTTTGAATTTAGTCAGCAGCTCTGTAGCTGTCAAGGGCTTTCGCTTAAGATATCGACGCACTGCTTCCTCGGTGATACCATAGTCTCTGTGCAAACAAATCAAATATGAGCAATTAAATGACAAACACTGCAATTATATACTCACTCCACTTTGTTGCTGACTACGCCTGCGAATGATGATGGCAATGAGTTGCTCAGTTCGCTCTTGGGTCGTTTAGCGGGCGTGCTGCTAGGACTGTTGCTGGTGTCAGATCCGGTGAGATCGCTGGGCAAGCTGTTCATTTTGCGTTTGTTGGCGTCATTCGTGAGAGTGGGCGTGGCGGAGCGTGATTTATTTGCATTGCTGCCACTGGGGATGACCTTGTTGGCAGTGTCCTTCTCCTTGTCTTTATCTTTATTGGTTGCAGACTTCTTTTTAGACGGTCCATTGCTAAGGTCATCTTCGGTATCTGTGCTATCTGAACTGAGATCCGTTGATGAATCACTACCATTTGTCTTTGATTTCTTGTCGTCTTTTGATTGTTTCTTTTTCTTCTTATCCTTGGCGGTTTCTTCTTTGTTTTTCTCCTTTTTCTTTTTCTCTTCGCCTTCCTCCTTATCTGATTCATCTGATTTCTTTTCTTCATCCTCTTCTTCATCAGAAGTGAGCAACTTGCGCAGTGCATCCTCTTCAGCCACGCCTTTCATGTCCTTCACCATCTTAGACTCTGGATCTGGTTCACTGTAAATGGATTAATAATTAGATTAATAATGGTACAGGAAAATTACGGATTTTAACATACTCTTCACTAGAGCTGGTATCGTAGTCCATTTCGCGTCCCTCCTCGTCGCCGTCATCAGACTCCTCAAAAGCTTCATCGTCCACATCACGTTTCTTCTTCTTTTTATCCATGCCCTTTTTTCCCTTTCCTTTCTTCGCGGCGCCATCATCGCTGTCCTCCTGCTCCTTCTTCTTCTTTTCCTCCTCATCTTCAGAGTCGGACTCATCCTCAGAATCAATCCACTCATCCATATCGGTAATTTTAAGTTCCTTAGACTTTTTAGTGGCGGCCTTTAGCAATTTGACCTCCTCAGGATCTTGTTCTTCCTCCTCGTCGCCGCGCAAGCGCTTGCGCAACATAAGAGAAAAATAATTCATGACCTTTTTGCGACGTCCAAACTCCTGTTCGGCCTCCTCCGCCGACAGTGACTTGTAGCGCTGTATGGGCTGAAAGTTGTACCACTCATTCAAGGGATAGGCTTCGATAGCACCGTCTGGGGCGTGCGTGAATACGTAGAAAGCGGCATTTTCGCCCACTCCACCTTCTCGTATGCCCTTGAATTTTTTTCCCATTTTGCCACCCACTTTTAGAATCCAGGGTTGAGCCTCTGGTCTATATTTGCGTGCTATGATGCCAAATTTTTTACGACGCGCTTCTTCTCGCTGGTCACGATTGTACTCCGAGCCAGCGCCAAATTTAGGTTGTTCCTCGTCGATACCCCGAAATTCTTTCATATTGTTCTCCCGCTCCAGCTTGACGTTGCGCCACTGCGCGAAATCAACATTGAGCGTGGCATTAAAACGCATGACATGGTGTTTCTTGCGCATCTTAGGCACGCGAATCTTAAACTCCTGAACATTGCCACTCGACGAGGTCGAACTGGACGCCACTGCAGCTGCGGACGTGGTACCTCCACCACTACTGCTAGTCTGGAATTCGTATGGCATTGGATTCATCATTAAAAGTTGTCAAATGTAATCGGTACTTTACTTACTGTCGATTTTGCTGCAATCGACATGCTCGAATTGTGAAATGAATATAAATTTATTTTCCTAATTCCTTTCTATGAACGAAGTTACTGACCGGCCGATTATTTTGTATTTATGTATCGATTATAAAACATTTTCGATTATAAAATTTTAGTTCACGTTTAAAAATATAGGTGACCATTTTTAGACAATTAGTATTTAGAAAGTTTAAGAGAATATTTTAATTTATCTATACTTATGAGTCAATCAAACTAAACAAATAACAATGTTTACTGCAATATTGCTTATTACATAAACGGTTGATTAAGAAATATTCAATAATTTGATAGGTGATTAAGGCGACCATGTTGCGAGCACTCATCGATAAATCGATATTTTACGGTTTCATACATGCTCTCATCTCTAGCCGCATTCTGCCAATGTTGTGTTTTTAATTCAATAAATTTGGATTTTTGGTTCTTTTGACCTGCATTTATACTTAAAATGTCACGAAACAGCGTGCTGACCGATGAGCAAAGCAAACTTAATGCTCGCCTGGAAGCACATATGGTCTATATATGCCCTGAATGCGGCAAGGCGTTTCGCACACAAGCCGAGTGGCGACAGCACTTAAATACGGTATGAATGTGTAAAGCAATAGTTTATCTTCCTTATTTTCTTATTTGGTAATTCTAATGCAGAAGCACGACTACCTCAAAAAGACTTATTCGGATTTCAATTTTATTCAAATCGATGAGAATTTCCACGAGTGCCAACTTTGCTTAAAGTGGGTGGAGAATGCCCACAAAACAATTGCCCTCCTACAATACCATTACTTTATGCATCTGGACCATCGCGAAACTTACCGGTGTGTACATTGTCGCCTGGCGTATACACGGCGACGAGCATTAAATGAACATCTGTTATCCACGCATATAAAAGAGATTGAAAAGTATGAGGCCAAGTTGAAGCAAGTGAAACGTAGCCAGGAAGAAAAAAAAGCACCAAAAGGTAAAGGTGCAAGACAGCCGCGCCGGCGCAATGATCTGTTGCAAAAGGCATTAATGGACATTGATCTGCAGACGGAAGATCAGGATGTAGCAACGCCATCAACTAATCCTTCAGTGAAGGCTAAGCCCAATGCTAGCGAACAGGCGCTAGATCGCAGCTTAAATGCCTACGAGGACATCGTGCGTAAGGAAATGGAGCAAAAACAGTCGCAGGATGTGCAAAACGAAGCTGATTTGGATGCACTGTGCCAAGAGTTCTTTGAGGAGCGCCTTGAGGAAACTGATAAAGCAGCAAAGCCGGCTGAAGCACGTCCCCAGCAAAATAAGGAAGTTGTGATTATTGAAATCGATGCACTGGGCAAGGATGAAGTGGATAAATTAAAGAAGAAAATGAAGACAGAACCAAAAACAGATACAGAAATAACACCGTCGCCCAAACGTCGGCGTTTAACAACAACACCCGAACGGGATGGCGATGCAGATGTCAGCATCAGCGGCCTGGCGAAACTCATTTCGTACTTGTGTCCCACGTGCGGTAAGGAAATTGAATCGATGGATGACTGGCGTAGTCATGTATTTAAGAAGCATAACTTCGAGCATTATATTGAGAATAGCTTCAAGATCAAGGATCGACAAAGCATTTGCCTGCAATGCAATGAGGTGCAGCATACCACCAAACGCACTGAGCTGCAGAAGCATTGCTTTAAGCATTTGCCCTTTCGCTCGTATTTGAAGTGCACTTTATGCGACCGGACCAAGACTAGCATGTCAAAGATGTACAATCATATACGTTACAATCATCAGGAGGAGCTTCAGCGCAAGAACAAAACCCAATTGCTTATCAAGCCGGAGCCCAAATGGACGATTCCGCAACGTTCAGTAAACCATCGTGAAAGTTCTGAGCCTGATCGTCGTAACAACGAACCGGAAGAGGAACGCATATGCAAATATTGCAATAAAGTTTTTAAAACATTTTGGCGTTTCGAGCGCCATGCGACACTGTGCAAGGCGCAATCCGCGTCCAAATCTACGCCAGATATAACGGCCGATTCATTGCTTAAGCATTTGCGCGAGGGGCGATCACGCATGAATACCATATGGAAGAAAATGCAAATGGAGGTGTGCTAGTATCTAGTTAGTCTTATATGTCAGTGGTAGTAGTAGTAGTATTAGTTTTGTTGAGATAAATAAAATGCAGACAAAGCATTTCTAATCTAGTCGAAGCATTTAAACATTATAACGTGAAATATTCTATTTTGGGTCATTCTTCTCGGCTCATCTATCTCGGGAATATTTCATGTTACCATGTTACCAGAAAGTATGAAATTTTATGGAAGAAAGATGGTAGAGACGTGACTCAACGGGTTACAGGGTTGGTTAACTAAATAATATAAAAGGTTAAAAAAGTTAGGTCCTCATTCTGTTAGGGTATCAAAGCATATTATATAACTATTTATGCTGAGCCAACACTCACTATCTACGACCTTTATTATGCCTATAATTATTATAGATCTTGGTTTCATCATAAATTTAATAACATCTGCAACCAACTGCACATACATGAGGTTTTTGAAATTAAAGTGAATATTAATCAAAATGTTGCTAGTGAAATGTCGTACAAATCAGAATTGAAGGAATACAAACCTTATAAAATTTTTACCAAATTTTGGAGAATTCAAATAACGCTGTTAGCGTCAAAGTGTGCGCCATTTAGCCACACCTCTGCTGTGGTGCTTTGCTTTTTGGGTTCTTAACATGACTTTGGGTCCTGCAGCATGTGTTCTAGATGAAATGCCACGTTGGCGAATTGGCAGTACGCGATTCTCGATAGTATTCTGAATATGCAATTCGCGCGTGCGCACCAGTGCATCTTGGAAATCCATTTTTGGTATCTTGTCAGTGTCGACTTCATGGTTCATGGTTAACATCACAACGTTGCGATCTTTGCCCTTTTTCAACGATTTTTTTACATTTTCCGTAAATCTGAGGAACTTGTTACGCCAATAGTCATTATTAGCGATTTCTTCGTTTTGTAAGTCATCATCATGTTGGGTATTATTTTGAACACCCTGTGTAGCAATTTGGACGTCCTTGGTGGCATTTTGAGCGCCCTGTGTAGCATTTTGAACGTCATTAACAGTTGTATTTGTCGCTTCTCCAGGATTCAGCATGTTCTCATTTTTTTGCTCTCCGTCAGGAATTGTATTATTTTTACCTGCCTCATCTGGTTTAGTTCTACGACTCGCTACACCTCGCTGGGTCTTAGTACCTTTGCCTTTCTTAGTTGACTGACTTGCTGCTACCCTGTGCTTGGTCACACTTACCGAGCAGAGATTTACGAATGATGGATTTTTACCAGATTTGCAGGATTCAGCAGGATGGAGACTCTGAACGTAGACCGGCTGGCCCACAACGGGCGCCTGATCAAAGTTGCAGGTTAAAAATGTTTGCAGCCATCCATTATTTGACTGTTGCAGAGCTGCGCAGCCCACACTGTGTACGTTGTCATGCACAAGTTGCATGAAGTTCAACCTTGGATTACTATAAATAACAATTTTTGTTAATTTCGAAAGATGCATTTGATTATCTGTATCTTACCCATATGGGTTCTTGTATTTGGCGATGTCGTGCATCGTCACATTTTGCTCCTCGTTAAACCATAATTGAAGTTGCGTGTATAAAATATCATCCAAGTCGGGTATTGTGCCTCTGTAACCACGATAGGCAACCGTCTGTCCGACATTCTTAAAGCTATCCGTATTGCGGCAAGCATCATAGTGCAAATAACAATTGCGCACATTCATCTCTGCCAGAAAGGCCAGTTCCTTGTCCCACTCAACGGTGCTCATATTGGCAGCTGAACTAAAGCCGTTGAATCCACCTCGTGCTACCATGTTGCGCACCGTATTTATACGTTTTATTAAAAAGGCACGCAGCTTACTAGTCATGGAGATGACCTCAGCATCGATGCTACATGTTTCGTCGAAAGACTGCGAATATGGCATATTGAAAGGCGTATCAATACGGAAATAGTTGCCCCCCAAATCGGGTTTACTTACGTCTGGATTCATTCCGCAGGCGACATGCTTATTGTTAGGACATAAACTGACTGCGCAGTAATTCTTGGTCGGATGCCCAGCATTTACCATGAAAATCATGCAACTCAAATACGCTATGGAACTTGACCACAACATTTTACGATGAGATATCATAGCGTTTTGAGCCAAATACAGTTTTCTGGTTGCCAATTAGTTCATGGTATATAATCTGTGTAATTCCGATTTTCAACTACAGTGAATTGTTAATTTTTATAAATGTTTGTTACGCTGCTCTTAAATACAAGCCTCTCGTCGGAGTATCATTTATAATTTAATTTAATACACTTCGCTTTGCAAGCCACATAAAAAATAAGGTCACATTAAAACGTGTACTTCCCGGCGTTACCCGGTCGAAGTTTTTGCTTCAACCTTAAGATTGAAAAATTTAAATCTACCCGCTAATCGATATTTGCAAATTAAATTTGGGTATATTAAAGATTACAAATTATATGATATATGTTTATATATTTAAAAAAATGCGACTAAATTATATTAACATAAGGTAAAGAAGATTTGTCCTATCAGAATCACGCTCAATTATACCATTAAGTCATATTTATATGGCGGTAAATGTGAAACCCCTTTAGATTCAAAACATCGTTGATTAAAACTTATCTATCGAAAACGTAATCGACGTAATCGTAATCGAAAAAGCTTGCCATGAACCAATTAAATGTTTTTAGAAATGAGTTTCAATTAAAAAACAAATGTATTATTTTATTAAGATTTCTTTTAATTTCCGATGTAAATGAGCTCTTTTAAATAATGGTAAGGTTATAACTATTATATTGCTCATTAAAATACAACTTAAACTTTTAGTATTTGTTGGTATTTTTAGTTTATATCCGATGGAACCATAATATTTACACTTATCGATATTAATGGTTGTCACTTTTCATGGCGAACCGATAACAACAAGAGACAGACAGTCAATACTTATCGATAGCGGTAAAAAAAAGTTTGTAGAAAATTTTCTTCATTTCTAAATGCTAATTGAATAGAGTATTATTGAGTGATAATTGTGCAATGGAAACCAGTTTGGATGAAAGCATGGATGCCGATAGAGCAAGTCCAAGTCCGCAAGACACTCAATCGCAAACTTCACCAGCAATCAACGGCAAACCCGCTGGTGTTGGTGTTGGTAGTCAAGACGGCCTAAAAGGGGTGGCAATTACTAATGAAAAAACAAACGCGAGCGACTTGCAAAGGTAAGTGCCTGGCACCGGTGTCTCTATTTATCGTGAACATGTGCAACGATGCGTCAACTTTAACTTCTTGTAGGAGCAAGCCGTTCAATGCGTTTAGCGGTCGCCCAATGGGCGAGCACACCCAGATGCAGCAACAGCACCAGCAGGCTGCTCAGCATATGGCCAATAGTCAACCAGCTCAGGCGGTCAATGGAGTTTCACAGGCGCCAGAAATTTGGGTCGAAACGAAAGCCGAGGACGGACGTTCGTATTATTATCATGCAGTGACTCGTGAGACAACCTGGACGCGACCGGATGGTCCAAATATAAAAATTATGACACAAACTGAGGTCGAGGAACTGGCCAAACGTCAAACGAATACGGTTGCTAAGCCTGAAACGAGCTTAACGGATCATGCTGAAGTGCCACCTGGAGCATCTGCTTTGCCTGGCCATTCACATTTGACCTCGCAACCACCGCCGCATCTATTGAACCAACCACCGCCCAATGCTGCGGCGCCGCTGCTTAGCCAGCCGCCTCCGAATGTGCGACAGCAACCGCCACCGATGTTCCAACAGCCACCCGGCATGCAGCCCCCACCAGGCTTTGGTCAGCCGCCGCCGTTTTGCATGCCACCACCCGCTTATGGATTTCCCGGTGCTGCACCAGCAGGTCCCTGGGGCGTTGGAGTGCCACCATGGCAACAGCAGCAGCATATGCATGCACCGCCTGGAGCAGCACAAGACAAGCCCGCTAAGAATCTGATTATCAAGCCGGGTGTTATTGATCCGGCGGTCATTGCCCGCGCAGCCGAATGGTCGGAGCATCGTGCACCTGATGGCCGACCCTACTATTTTCATGCAGCACGTGGCGAGAGCGTGTGGGAGAAACCACAAGCGCTTCGCGACATGGAAGCGGCACGCATGGCAGCCCACTCGGGCGCTGCACCACAAACAGCAGCAGTTGGCCCGCCGAGCGGCATGCCGCCTCATTTGCTTCCCAATCCGCTAATGCATATGCCGCCGGGTGCTGCACCTGGCTTTGATCCGCAAATGGCATTCGCAGCCGCTGCGGCAGCCATGAAGGCTAACAGTGAAAACAACAAGGCTGCACAGGCCGCAGTGCTGGAGAAGGAGGCTAAAAAGGCGGCCGAGGAGAAACGCAAAAAGGAGGAAGAACAAAAGAAACTCGCGGCAGCTGTAGCGAGTGCCAAGCAAACCGACAAATCGCGTCCTGTGACCAGCACGCCCATTGCGGGTACACCATGGTGTGTTGTATGGACCGGTGATGCGCGTGTCTTCTTTTATAATCCGTCAACTCGCACTTCAGTTTGGGATCGACCAGAAGATTTAATGAATCGCGAGGATGTCGACAAGGCGGTTAATGAACGGCCAGAGCAACTGAAATCTGCAGAAGAAAAATCTGCTGAGCCAGATCATAAACTAGGCGAGAATGCCAGTGTGCTGGAGAAGCTGGCACAAGCTCAGCAGCAACCACAACAGGTTCAGCGCGTGGAACCGGATGATGACGAAGATGATGAGATCATTAAAATACGCACCGAATCCGAATCGAGCGTGGAGGAGGTACCCACAAAGCGGGTGCGCACGTGTAAGTTCAACAACACATTTTATCCAACATTTTTAATATCTAATATACGAAGTATCATCGACATATAATAACAAACCCTAATTGTGTTTGTTTTCTACGTAACCTAGTTACTAAACCCAAGAAAAATGAGGATGCAGTACTGGAGGCTGAACAGCGTGCGGCCAAGGAGCGTGCTTTGGTGCCACTCGAGACGCGCGTCACTCAGTTCAAGGAGATGTTGCGCGAAAAGGATGTTTCAGCATTCAGCACCTGGGAAAAGGAGCTACACAAGATTGTGTTCGATCCACGCTATTTGCTGCTCACATCAAAGGAACGCAAACAGGTATTTGAAAAGTATGTGAAGGATCGCGCAGAGGAGGAGCGCAAAGAGAAACGCAATAAGATGCGACAGAAGCGCGACGATTTCCGCAAACTCATGGAGGAAGCCAAGCTGCATGGCAAGTAAGTATTTAACTGAAACGAATAATTTGAATTATAGAAATAATTCGCAATACCTTTTATTTTAGATCATCCTTTTCGGAGTTTAGTCAGCGCAATGCCAAGGAGGAGCGATATCGAGCCATAGAGAAGGTGCGCGAGCGCGAGAGTTTGTTCAATGAATTTATCGTTGAGGTGCGTCGGCGGGAGAAAGAGGATAAACAGCTGAGAAAAGAGCAGGTATGTGTTGGCGTTGTGCGACTAACTGCCCACTTACGTATCCATATCCATATATGCATATCTATTCTTATATATGTTATTGACTTACCATATTATTTGTATACAACGTATTTATATAATGTTATTGATTTTTGTTAATTAATACAACATGAACCGATCGATCCCCTGATCTGAACGATTGCCCCTGACCGACCGGTTCGGTTACAATTTCATGTTGCAAATTGTGTGTTCGGTACGACCAAATTTGTAGATAAGAGCTAACAGATTACAGCACAAAAGCACCCACCAAATGCAAACACCAAATTCACATACAGCCGTTGTTCCTGTCGTCATCGTTGTCGTCGTCATCTCGTTGTCTTCATGGTCCCAGTTCCAGGCCAAAGTTGATAGCTCAAGTTCACCACGCACACGCTTGCAAAATCTGTCTGTGTGGTGAGTTCAAAATAAAAAAAAAAAAAAATTTACAAAAAAAAAATTTGTTTTTCTGCAAATAAGAAACAAATTTGGAATCAAACAAAAACAATACAAAACAAAAAAAAAATCAATAAAACAATCACTAAAAATCAAAAGGTATGCAAAAATTGAAAATTACCTGATAATCGTTGGTGTGATTTCCACTTCCCGCCCCGCCCTGCGTCGCACATGTCGCCTAGGAATGATGTTGTGCCAATGATGATGATGATCGATGATCAATGATGGTGATGATGTTATTTGGCGTTATTTTTTCGTAAAAGATGTGATGTTGATGTTGGAAGATCAATGTTTGGGTTATTGGAAGCGGAAGCAGCCACTCATCACTGAACAGCAACAACAACCATTACAGAACGGGCAACAGCAACAACAACAAAACGTGTACAGGTGGCTTCGAGGCTGAGCAAACAGTATGAATTATACATAATTTAATTAAACCAATAATTTTTTTGTTTTACCAAAACTTGTAAATGGCAGCGCCCACAACAGGAGAATTAATTTACCCAATCCAAGCCTGTGCAGAGCAAAGTGAGAACTGCCCTAAGAGAACAACACTTGCTCTCTCCTCTCACATTGCTCTCACAAGCTTCAGGCAACGGCGCAGCACGTTGATAGACTCTCTGTCTCTCACTCAGACACTATTTTATTTATTATATCTTATGTATTTGGTACGTTTACTTTAGTTTTATATACTGTGCACTTCGGCCCAGCTGAAGTCCCTGACCCGGCCGCGTAAAATCATAGAGAAAATGCATCATACATTACCGATTCCTTATTACCGATTCAAGATACACGCATATCTAAAACAATTTCTTAATTAATTCAAAATAAATGTCGTATTTATAAGCTAGGATGGCACCGTATACTTTGAAACTCACAATGTTTAAGTTGTGTATTGCAACATTTTACCTAGAAAACATTTAATTGTTGCTTTTATATATTTAAAGATTGATAACAAGTGTCTAAATATTAGAACGTTTTATTATTTAGATAAAATATTAGCCTAGCTTGGGATTGAAACCCAGATGCCGATTATCAACTTCCCTTAGTGCAGAGCTCACTGGAAGTCTTTCTTACCGCGATAAAATGATTTAGCAGTTTAATTGCTTTTGACTAGCTTTTTTAGTTTATATTTTAGTTTTATTATCCGTTATAGTCTGTATCAGACCCTGTCTTACACTGCATTTCTCTAAGGGTATCACGGCCACAACTAATCACAAAGTTTTCTTTCAGTTATGTCTCTTTCAAAGCTAATCGAAACATTCTTTTACAGGAAAACAAAGCGTGTAACTATGTTTATAAGTTTAAAATGATTATATATTAAGGCAAGTTAAGTTAGTGCCCTACGTAATAGATCCTTAAGTGAAATATGCATCAGTGTCAGAGGCGTAACTAATTCATTTTTTTAATACATTTCTCTTCTCTTCCGCATGGCTGTCATGTTGAATTACTTTTTGAATCTTTAGATACGCAAGGACTTTATGGATATGCTGCGGGAGCGTCATGATATTGACCGGCACACGCGCTGGTATGACATCAAAAAGAAGTTCGAATCGGATTCGCGGTATCGAGCAGTAGATTCCATGTACCGAGAACAATACTTCGAGGACTACATGCACATTATGAAGGACGAGAAGCGTAGAGAGCGTGAGCTTCGTGATCAGCGTGATAGGGAACGCCAGCGTGAACGCAAATCAGATCGCCGAGATAGGGATAAGGAAAAAGAGAAAAGCCGCAAGGAAAGTCGCAGGGATCGCAGTCGCTCAAGAGATCGAGAGCGTAAATCGTCGCGGGACAAGGAGGAGAAGAACAAGGATCGCAAGAAACAAGATACGCCGGTGAATATCAAAATATACATAAGCCCGGTTATGCTTGGAATATATGATCATACTGATGCTTTTAAATCTATTCGTAGGAGGAGGGTGAACACTGCGACGACTCGGATCGCGAAGAGCGTGCCGGTAGCGAGGATAGCGAACTCGCGCGTCAGCGCGAAACCGAAGCCGAACAAAAGCAAAAAGACCGCGAGCGCAAGTTGCGAGCGGAGCAGAGCATTAGGGAGCGCGAAAAGGAGGTGCATCGCACTCTAGCTGGTCATCTGCGCGATCGTGACAAGGAGCGTGAGCATCACAAGCGTGACGAATGCATTGGACACTTTACGGCACTGTTGACGGATCTGGTGCGCACGCCCGATTTCACATGGAAAGAGGTAAAACGTCAGCTGCGCAAGGATCATCGCTGGGAACTAATTGAGACACTCGATCGTGATGAACGTGAGCGGTAAGTAAACTAGCGATAATTGTAAGATTAGCACCTGATATTTGATGTCATTGTATTTCTTCCAGTATCTTTAACGAACATATTGACAATTTGATGAAAAAGAAGCGCGAAAAATTCCGCGAAATGCTTGACGAAATTAGCACACTAGAACTGACTAGCACCTGGAAAGAAATCAAGAAACTAGTCAAGGATGATCCGCGCTATCTCAAATACAGCTCGGATAAAGGCGAGCGTGAGTTTCGTGATTACATTAAAGATAAAACCATGCAGGCCAAGACGGCGCTGCGTGAACTATTGCAGGAGTGCAAATTTATTACACACAAAAGCAGCGATCTCATCAAGGAGAATGCCAATCACCTTAAGGAAATACAGGACATTCTCAAGAACGACAAGCGGTAAGCTTTGAGCAGACTCGCAATTGTAACACCGATAAATTATTATATGTGATTCTTTTAGCTACTTGGTGCTGGATCATTTGGATGAGGAGCGCAGTAGTATTCTAACAGCTTTCTTAGAGGAAATGAACAAGCGTGGACCTCCACCACCTCCGACAGCCTCCGAGTCCACACGTCGCAATAAGTAAAGCCGCAAGCATACTATTCATAACTAACAACTCAAACCCAATATAAGTTAAGGATTGAAATTATGTAGCAACTAAAAAAAAAAATTTTAAACCTTTCAAGTGCATGCTGAAATGTACTATACAATAAACGCAAATTGAAAAGAGAACTCTCAACTGCGAAATTTGTATTCATATATGTGTATATATATTTTTATTGATCATTTATACGTTATATTAGATTTGTGGTTGCCAAACATATACATATATATATATATATATAATATTTATATATGTATATACATATATATTTTTTAGACTGCGCTTCGTTATTTCATATTTCTATTTCTATTTATATGTACGTAAGTACTTGGTTTCCAATTCATTGCTACCATTATTGTTAAACTCAGATTCGTTCTGCATTTTTGTATGAGTTTCCTAGGTACTAAAAAATAAATTAATTTCTATATTATATGTTTCATATTCGTTTTCAACGTCGGCGCCTTGAAATTTGGCGTTCACTTTTAAACACATAGTTCAAATTATTGTTGATACATATTTGTATTTAATGTAAATGTCTGTGTGCCTGTTAGGAACTAATAGCGAAAATAATGCGCTTCGTTTGTATTGTACAAAATATTTGCCACAATTATTTCATGTGTTTTTTTTGTTGGTGTTATTGAGCTGTTAACAATGAGTTTAACGGATTACTCGCTCGTTTGGGAATTTGTAAAACTAATCCCATCACATCTAATAAGTTATTATTTATAGGTTCACTTTCAGTTAATGTTTTTGCAATTTTGACATGCGAATATTGTGTAGATGGATTTAATAGGTACTCCAAAATTATTTACTCACGACATTTAAAGTGTGAAATTAAAGAAAAAACTTTATTCGCTTTGGAAATTATTTCGCTTAAATACGCTGTACTGTATCATAAATAATATTCATAATATTAACTATTTTACACTACATCTCATTTGAGTAAATAAAGGACTTTAATGTTTGGTCTTACTAAAAACAAAAAGAATATTTAATCGTCTTTACGAACTATGTTTGCATAATAAACAATCTTCTATCCTGCAACTGTTTATTGACAGTTGAAACTTAAAAGATGCTCCTAGAAATGAAAATCAACAGTATAACTGAAAGAACAAGTATAGCTAGGAACGTCGGGAACTACTTAAGTTCGGGTTATTGCATTGAAACGAAGTGACAATATTTTTGCATAAACCTATTGCCGATCATGATGTGAACTGAAATTAATATGAATAATATTCTTGATTCTCTATGCCTCAACTTAGATGAGGTTGAACCACCGAGCTTTTGTTTTTTATTTATGTTGGCCGTCCTACGCTACGTGCTATGCTAATCTATATCAGTTAGTTTCTATTAATATTATTATTAATTGTTGTTGTTGCTCTTATTGAATGCATTTCAATTTTGTTTTCCCTTTTTTTTTTGTTTATAGGTTAGGCACAAAGTAACTGCTTTTGTCATTGTTACACGCTATTTAATTGCTAGTTATATTTAGTTGCTATTGCCAACTTATTAAACAGTTTAGAATGTTTCTCTTTATTTTGTTTCGTTTTCTATTAGCTATGTCTATATATCAATAAATTGCTATACCTTGTTATCATCATAAACTACGTTGCATTGTTGTTATGAATTTGAAAAATATAGGCTCTTCTAATATCATGGTAAACTCTTTTACAATTACATGTTATCTTTGATTTACAACTACGTATGTATACAGACATGGTACAAAAAGGGAGGCGGTGTTTGCTGTGTGTTTGTGTGTGAGTGTGTGTGTGTGTGTGTGTGTGAGCGATGGGCAAAGCTTGATTAGGTATTTGGTAACAACATGTTTGGACAGATCCTTTGTGAATGTTAAAAACAAATACAAAAATATCTCAGATGAGTTTGTTGGAAATTAACTTCAGGGAGCAGCTATGCGGAAAACAATAATAAAATATACTTGAATATAATAAACACTTACAAGCGCATATATAAAAAAATATATTTACGTTTTTTATTAAATAAAGCAGTTTAAGAAACTAATTGAAATTCTCACTGAATGTAACAAAAGTTTGCAAACGAAACAGTTAAATAATACTCTTAAGTGATTAAAGTTAGTGTTATAGCGTTTTGCGCAAGAATTTCGAAAGTTTTTTTCGTTTCTAATCAGTTGCTTCTTATAGACAAAGTTGAAAAACTAAAATAAAATTTATGTATTTAATTTTTCTTTATACAATTGTTATAACATAGTATTATTATATTATGATCTTCATATGATATTTAAATGCAAATGCCAATTTTAATTTGTAGGTTTAATTAAAGGTGTTTAATGAATTTGTATCGATTATCAAAGACAAATTCAAAGGCATTTAAAATGCCCGATAATTTGGTATAACAAATCAGCAGCAAAAATTAAAATTGAAAAAATGTTTGCTGACGTTTTCAAGGCTTGGAAACACATTGAATTTAAAAAAAAAAAAAATGTTCATAAATAGACTGGAAACCAAATTGTTGCCGTGTGAATTGAACTACGCTTGGCTACGTGTGTGTTGCAGTTGATCCTTGATTTCGGTTTTGTTACGAGTAGTTAATAATGTATATAATAAGTATATATGTGTATGTATATAAATACGTTAATATAAATAATCATAAACACTAATAATTTATCATCTGTTCATTTATACGCATAAATTGTTGCTATTGTTGTTGTTGTTGTTGCTGTGGTTGTTGTTGTTGCTGTTCTCGCTGCTGCTGTTGCTTTTTGTAATAGTGATTCATTAGTAATGGTTAAATAAGCTGCTGTTTTTTGGTTGTCAATCAGTTGCCCTTGGTTGCCTCCTTGGCGGCCATAATCAAAGGCGTCAGACTGGCCAATGGACGCGCCAATTTCAGGAAGGGATGCTGCAAATTGAAATACAATGTAAATTAAAAAGCTTTAAAAATCTAGCATTGCTTCACACACCTTTAGCAGGTCCATGGCGCTGGCGCGCCGCTCCACTTCCACTTCCAGACACTGATCTAGAAAATCTTGAAATGCGCCCGTTAGTTTGTCTTTTTCCTTAATCTCCGGCTTGCCATTTGTGGCAATGAGGTACAAGGCTTTTAGCGGATTTTCGTTCAAATAAGGCGGCTCCCCCTCAACCATTTCAATAGCCATAATGCCCAGCGACCACAAATCGACCTGTAAGCATTAACATTTTATAATATATATATGTTTAAGCAGCCAAATTGTAATACGCACCTTGGGTCCATACTGCTTGCGTGTGACTACCTCGGGAGCCATCCAATAGGGTGTGCCAACCATGGTTGTGCGTTTGGATTGTTCCGGCGAAATTTGCGCACAGAATCCAAAATCAGTCAGCTTGACGGAGCCATCCAGGCCAAGCAATATGTTATCACTTTTAATATCGCGATGAATTACCTGATTGGCGTGCAGAAACTCGAGCGCCTGCAGCACCTCACGACAAACGGCTGCAATTTGTCCCTCATCCATGCAGGTCTCGGTAACAACATCGGTGAGAGAGCCACCAGGCAGATATTCCATAACTACCCATAGCTCCTCCGATACCAAATAGCTGTCCAAATAGTTAACCACATTAGGATGCTTGTTCTCTCGCATAACCAGTATCTCATTGATGATGAGCTCCTTTTTGGGCTGCTGCGACAAGTTCATCTGTTTGATGGCAACCTCCATACCCGTTGAGGACTCAATGGCCGTGTAAACGGTGCCTGAAGCACCTTGGCCAATTTTCTCCATCTTGGTGTACTTGCGATTGGGATCGCCGACAGAGACAATGGTGCGCAGCTTCTCCAGTATTTCCTCATCAGACATTTTCTTCTTCTTGGCATTGGCGGCACGTGTTGTCGTAGTTGTTGTGGCACCCGCTGCCTGCTGTGGCACCGCAATTTGTGTACCCGCTGCTGGCGTAGCTGCCAACGCTGAGGCGTTGAGATTGTTGGCCGCCGGATCGTGGTACAGATCTTTAGCAGGTGTGGCAGGTGTTACCATCGTAATAGTAGGCGTGGTCGTGGGAACAACGGCAGAGTTGCGTATGGAAGACGTTGGTGTTGTACAGTGTATCGTGGGCAAGATGTGAGCGCAAAGCGGCGGCGTCGCATCATCATGAAACGAGGGGAACGATGAAAAGGAGGAAGCAGAAGAGTCGTGATTAGTCGTTGTTGCTGTTGCTGTTGCATCTGCTGCTGCAGCATTACACTCAAGAAGCTGCTGCTGCTGCTGCTGCTCCTCTCTGTTAGGAGCTGCAGTTATGGTAGTTGAGGTACCGCTAGTGGGAGGACAATTAGTAGCATTTGCCAAAGCAGACAAAATACGAGCAGTAGCAGCTGTTGTTGTTGCCTCAATGCCTTCTGTTTCTGTTGTTGTTGCTGCTGTTGCTGTGGTTGTTGTTGCTGTTGCTGCTGTTGCTGCTGTTGCCGCTGTGGAGCTGTCTGCTTCTGTCGCAGTTGCATTTGCAGTTGTTGCTGATGTTGCTGTTGTTTGGTTGTTAAGCAGCAATTCAAAGCAATTTCAAAACAGAACAAAACAGAACACAGAAGAGGCGATACAAATGACAATAACATTAGCAATATGCATCAATTCATCAATGCATCAATTACTTCAACTAAAACAAGAGAACTGAAACCATCTTCGAACTAAACCGAAGTCGCCATTTACCCTTGCAGCAATATGGAAGATCGATTTTCTGACAATTATTGATATAAAATTAAAAATTATTTATTCTTTTATCAATACTATTTTAAGTACAACCCAAATTTGAAGCCTAAATTGATATTTATGAGTTTAAAAATGATAAAAGAAAACTGCGCTTGGGTTCATATTAACTGTCCAGTATTCCATAAATAAATGTAATTTAACAAATAAAATGAATTTTTTATCAACAAGTATTTCTTAAATTTGATTAAAAATTCCCATAATATATTTAACTATGATCTTATACGTTTCTTGACCTAAGGTCACCTAATTATTTATTGACATTGAATATTAAGCCAGAGCGGATGGGTTAAATTTAGCATCAACTTTGTAGCATATCTTGGGAAAGCGATTAAAGTCAGGTATTTCCTGAGACTGCAAGGGCTTGGAAAATATTGTATTTGACAAATAGCTAAGGATATGGCTTGCCAAATCGCTGTAAATAACTCACTTGCATTGTTCTTGTTCTTGTCCAGCGTCGTTGTGGCATTGTTAAGCAGTAGAGGAGACGCCGCCGCCGTTGTCGTTTTGTGGTTTTGTAGTGGCGTTGTGGGCGTTGTGGCCGGTGCCGCTGGCATTGGTGTTGGCTGCAGTTCCTCGATGGGTCGCGTGTAGATAGACTTCGTGCGCTCAGGCCGGGATGCAACTGGCGGCGGCGGCGGCTGCTGCGGCAGCATGCCAACATCTGCATACATATCATTCTCATTGGCAGATGAATGTTGCGATGTCGATGTGGAGGCTGTGTGGCCAACAAAATTGTACGAATGCGATTGACTCAGGCCAATGTGATGCTGATGCTGGTGTTGCTGCTGCTGTTGCTGTTGATTCTGCAGCTGTTGCTGCTGTAATAATTGCTGCTGCTGCTGTTGGTAGTGATTGCCCAGCAGTTGACCTGCAGCGGACACATTGTTCGCATTGGGACCCAATGTCATGCTGCCCAGCTGCACGCCAATCAAGTTGCCACCACTGTTTGAGGCATGCAGCTCTGAGTCTGTCGGCGTGCTGCTGGGACTACTGCTGCTCACGCGGCTCAGCGAAGATCCTGAAATCAGTAAATACAATTATTTCAATTGTTTGTTTATTTATAGGCAAATTAAAGGGCACTTTACATATGCTAAAGAATGAGTTCCGGATTCAAGCTCGAGTTGGTTTAAAACCCCATTCAATAACTATTTCAGGTTTTCCGAAGATTTAACACCTTCGAACCCTTATTATTTTTATACGAAAAAGATTCTTCCGATCGATTCATCATACAATAGGGTTTTGTGGTCTGACAGAAAGATATTGAAAGATGACGTCTGCACTTACCCGAATGCGTCGTTATGGCATTTGTCATGTACTTGGAACTTGGCCTCTGTTTGGTTGTATTGTCGAACCACTTGAGCACATCGAGCACGGCTTGCGGATTCTTTTTCTGCTCCTGCTTGCTGATGTTGGAGTTCATCAAGAGACGCGCCCAAGCCTCTGGCATACCCTGTAATGTGCAGAAACTTCGATTAGCTTGTTAGATCAGTAAAAGCAATAAAAAGGGGCCCAGCTAAGGTGGGCCCCATACACAGAGAGAGAGAGAGAGAGAGACAAAGAGCAGCAAGGGAAAGCATGGATTGGGTTTTTGCTTGTCCAATGATATCTGGGAAAAATTAGGGAGCCTGCGACTAAAAGCAGTTGAACTACGAATATTAAGCTAAGCCATCGGCAACAGTTTAGTGTGGTGTTTGGGTTTGGTGTAGTGTAGAGAAGAGAACACGTTTAATTTGCAAAATCGTAACGAAATGTGAACTATGGAAGATCCGATCTCAAAACAAAGAATATGGGGAGACAGACAATTAACAACAGATGATTGGAATTTCGCTTAGAAAACTAATGAAGGCAAGTTCTGTTGCTTAGGACTTGGTGTTTACTTACTTTCATTGGCAGCTTGAAATAATAACGAATAATACAAAATTGGTATAGAAAATATCGCGAGAGAGAAACATAATGTATAATTTAACATTTTATTAGGGGTTATTAACAAAAACAATGCACAAAATTCTCTGCTAATGAATGATCGGAGTGATTATGCTTAAAAAAGGCTTACAAATTTGGAGCTTAAAAGCTCAAGAGATTTATAAATGAAAGTTTAAATAGAACATCACGAGCACGTGTAAGCAATTGCACACATATTTATAAGCTTAATTTTTTTTTAGCTCTAACATGAGAAGCTTTATACTTAAGCTTTGAGCTTTAATTCAAAAACTTAAAGCGCCACTTAAAGCAGACAATTTTTTAAAAATAAACGAAATGGAACTCTATGCATTAAAAACTCGTTTGCATTGAAACGGTAAAAAACGTTAAAACTTAAATTAAAATTTTCGCTGGAGGAAATCTTTAAAATGTACTAAGCCCAAAATCAGATGTCAATTTAAAATTAAAAAAACATCCAAAATCGAAAGAAACGGCATATGGCTTGGATAAATACAAACGTTATTCCGATAATCGAAGTGTTCAGATTTATATGATTTGTGTTATTTTTATTTGTTTTAGCGTCTCAAGCTTATCATATGGAACTGGCAAAACACAAAAAAGATTGGCAATCGAAACTTTAATATTGCTTTTTTTTCGGCCATAAGACAAATTGATTGCGAGGCCAAGAAGCAAGCGAATAAGAAAGTATATTTATGATAATACTTTATACGGTATATAACCGAGAAATTCTACACGAACTTACCGTAAACTCGCCGGTGACTGCATCAAAGCCCACATGGACAGTGTGCTCAAAGTTAGTGGGATACGATATATTTGGTTTGGAATCCATGTGCGAGGGTTTTGAGCCTTTGATCTTGTTCTTGAGCGTCTTCTTCTTGCGATCCGCATCGTCGGGCTCTTTGAGTGGAACAATAAAATAAAAACTTGTTGAACGTACCAATGGCGACCACATACTGAACACGCTTACCTTTGGGCAATGGGCGCATATCAACTGGCGGCGCATCCCCGACGCCGCCAGCTCCGCCCGTTCCTACCGTGCCGGGGATGGGAACACGTTCGATGCCAACGCCGCCACGATTACTGGTGAGACGCACTGGCGGCGCCGGTGGTTTATCCTCTTCGCTGGACATCTGTTCTGTTCGTGCTGCTGTCTAACAAACGGCCGTTCGGATTTATAGCAAAACAGCTGTAATTAAGTACAAAATTAATAATCGTAATTTTGATGTTAACAAATGCTCAATTGCAATTGCAATTGTTTAAAACAACAAATAATTTCATATATTGGTGCATGCGTCAGAGCAAGGGCAGGGACAAGGCCTTTTATCTACAACAATTCTTATCTAACTTGGATTTCTACTGTTGCTTCAGTTCTTTCGTTTTAATCGTGTGCTTATATATTTTCTTTTGCGGGCACGTCATACAACTATGGCATTGTCATAATATAATCAGCACAGTTCTTGGTATATACACATTATATATATACATATATATTAAATATCATTTATATATATGTATTTGTGATCGAACATTTATAACGTATGTACATATATGCATAGGCCGCGACTTGTTTCACTGATTTCTGCTTATTTCCACTTAATGTTTGTCTATTTTTTGTGATTATCTGCAAAATCATTTTAAAAATTGTATGCTCTCAATTTAAACAGTTTTTTTTTTGGCACACAAAAAATGATTTTTGTTTTTAAAATGGTTAAAGCACCCACACAATATACTTATAGATATGTATATACATATATATTTGCTGCAACAACAACAATTTATATCAATATGGGCCGACAGACGAACTGACTCTGCCAGTTGCGCGGCTCGGACTCGCTTTGAGTGTCACTGCCACTGCCCGGCAGCAGCAGCAGCAGCAGCAGCAGCAGCGGGAGAGAACTACAACACTGAAATTAAAGAGAGCGAGAGAGCGCCAACGATCGTGGGCAGCATGAGCGAAATTAACGACACAAACTTGCAGTCACGATGTGCGATAACAAGAGCCGCAGCTGTAATCGATTGTCATGTTAATAGAAACAACAACAACACGACTGACGCTTTTGATTCTGAATTTTAAATATATAAAAGGGACGAATAATGCGTGGGCAGCGGAGCAGCAACTAAACATATGTCACAAAGCAAGCTTTGCTCTCTCGCTCTCTCTTTTATTTCTCCTCTATTTCCATGTCTGTGCGTTTGCCGGCGGCGTTGACTGCGCTGCTTTTATGATTCATTTATCAACGTCAAGCGTCAAAAGTCAATGCAGCGCAACGCGACGGCGTCAACGCCGGCAGCAGCAAATACTACAATAACAACCATATACTATGTGGCGCTGGGTGTGAAAATTATAAGCAAACAATTATTTTTTGTCTGTGCACTCGTATGCTTGTTGGCCGTCTGCCCAACATCAAGAGCGCAATGATGACGAACATCGACGATAGGTAAAAATTGGTTTATGTTTTTCCCCCACGTGTCGGCAACTCCAAACAACTCACGACGAGTGCGGCGCCAAGAACTGGGTTAACTTTAATGTGTTGTTCTTGTATTTCAGATTTGAATATCGAAACTTTTTCGAAGATTTCTTTTTAATATCTCGGGTAATAGCTCCGCGCGGAGATATGACGTTCCAAAACGACATAGCTCCGCGGAGATATGACGTTCCAAAACGACATAGCTCCGCGGAGATATGACGTTCCAAAACGACATAACTCCGCGGAGATATGACGTTCCAAAACGACATAACTCCGCGGAGATATGACGTTCCAAAACGACATAACTCCGCGGAGATATGACGTTCCAAAACGACATAACTCCGCGGAGATACGACGTTCCAAAACGACATAACTCCGATGAGATATGACCTTCCAAATCATCACGTGTTTTTTCCAAAATCAGGTCAGTGCGAAAATCGAAACTTTTTCGATGATTTTTTTTTAAGATCTCGGGTAATAGCTCCGCGCGGAGATATGATGTTCCAAAACGACATAACTCCGCGGAGATATGACGTTCCAAAACGACATAACTCCGCGGAGATACGACGTTCCAAAACGACATAACTCCGCGGAGATATGACGTTCCAAAACGACATAGCTCCGCGGAGATATGACGTTCCAAAACGACATAGCTCCGCGGAGATATGACGTTCCAAAACGACATAGCTCCGCGGAGATATGACGTTCCAAAACGACATAACTCCGCGGAGATATGACGTTCCAAAAGGACATAGCTTCGCGGAGATATGATGTTCCAAAACGACATAACTCCGCGGAGATATGACGTTCCAAAACGACATAACTCCGCGGAGATATGATGTTCCAAGACGACATAACTCCGCGGAGATATGACGTTCCAAAACGACATAGCTCCGCGGAGATATGACCTTCCAAATCATCACGTTTTTTTTTCAAAATCGAGGTCGGTGCGAATATTGAAACTTTTTCGATGATTTTTTTTTAAGATCTCGGGTAATAGCTCCGCGCGGAGATATGACGTTCCAAAACGACATAGCTCCGCGGAGATATGACGTTCTAAAACGACATAACTCCGCGGAGATATGACGTTCCAAAACGACATAACTCCAAGGAGATATGATGCTCCAAAACGACATAGCTCCGCGGAGATATGACGTTCCAAAAGGACATGGCTCCGCGGAGATATAACATTCAAAAACGACATAGCTCCGCGGAGATATGACGTTCCAAAACGACATAACTCCGCGGAGATATGACGTTCCAAAACGACATAGCTCCGCGGAGATATGACCTTCCACATTATGACTTTTTTTTTTCAAAATCGAGGTCGGTGCGAATATCGAAACTTTTTCGATGATTTTTTTTTAAGATCTCGGGTAATAGCTCCGCGCGGAGATATGACGTTCAAAAACGACATAGCTCCGCGGAGATATGACGTACCAAAACGACATAATTCCGCGGAGATATGACGTTCGAAAACGACATAACTCCGCGGAGATATGATCAATTGGAATTCAAACAAATTATTCATCGAGTTCTATCGATTGGCATCAAAAAAAGGAAATCCAAAAGTTTGATCCAAATCGACAAAATGGCAAGGGGTTACATCACGTTTTTTTTTTCAAAATCGAGGTCGGTGCGAAAATCGCACGGAAATATTGCAAAAAACCATCAAAAAGGTTGAATTTACGATCGAATCGGTTTTTTGTTAACAACATTGTTCAACCCATCGATGATTAATTTGTTTGAATGCCAATTGATGGTAGGGATCCGTACGCATTCAAAAAGGTATAACATTTTAAAATCAGACATTATTTACCCGAGATATTAAAAAAAAATCATCGAAAATATTTCGATTTTCGCACCGACCTCGATTTTGAAAAAAATCGTGATGAAGGTCATATCTCAGCGGGGAGTTATGTCGTTTTGGAACGTCATATCTCCAGGAAAAAGTTTCGATTTTCGCACCGACCTCTATTTTGAATAAAAGCGTGATGTAACCCCTTGCCATTTTGTCGATTTGGGTACAAATTTTGGATTTCCTTTTTTTGATGCCAATCGTTAGAACTGATCCTTACGAATCAAAAATGGTATAAAATTCCAAAATCGGACATTATTTGACAGAAATATTGCAAAAAACCATCAAAAAGGTTGAATTTACGAACGAATCGGTTTTTTGTCAACAACATTGTTCAACCCATCGATGATTAATTTGTTTGAATGCCAATTGATGGTAGGGATCCGTACGCATTCAAATAGGTATAACATTTTAAAATCAGATATTATTTACCCGAGATATTAAAATAAATCATCGAAAAAGTTTCGATTTTCGCATCGACCTCGATTTTGAAAAAAATCGTGATGAAGGAAAAAGTTTCGATTTTCGCACCGACCTCTATTTTGAAAAAAAAAGCGTGATGTAACCCCTTGCCATTTTGTCGATTTGGGTACAAATTTTGGATTTCCTTTTTTTGATGCCAATCGTTAGAACTGATTCTTACGAGTCAAAAATGGTATAAAATTTCAAAATCGGACATTATTTGACGGAAATATTGCAAAAAACCATCAAAAAGGTTGAATTTACGAACGAATCGGTTTTTTGTCAACAACATTGTTTAACCCATCGATGATTAATTTGTTTGAATGCCAATTGATGGTAGGGATCAGTACGCATTCAAAAAGATATAACATTTTAAAATCAGACATTATTTACCCGAGATATTAAAAAATATCATCGAAAATGTTTTGAATTTCGCACCGACCTCGATTTTGAAAAAAATCGTGATGAAGGGGAGTTCTGTCGTTTTGGAACGTCATATCTCCAGGAAAAAGTTTCGATTTTCGCACCGACCTCTATTTTGAAAAAAAAAGCGTAATGTAACCCCTTGCCATTTTGTCGATTTGGGTACAAATTTTGGATTTCCTTTTTTTGATGCCAATCGTTAGAACTGATTCTTACGAGTCAAAAATGGTATAAAATTCCAAAATCGGACATTATTTGACGGAAATATTGCAAAAAACCATCAAAAAGGTTGAATTTACGAACGAATCGGTTTTTTGTCAACAACATTGTTCAACCCATCGATGATTAATTTGTTTGAATGCCAATTGATGGTAGGGATCCGTACGCATTCAAATAGGTATAACATTTTAAAATCAGATATTATTTACCCGAGATATTAAAATAAATCATCGAAAAAGTTTCGATTTTCGCACCGACCTCGATTTTGAAAAAAATCGTGATGAAGGTCATATCTCCGCGGGAAGTTCTGTCGTTTTGGAACGTCATATCTCCAGGAAAAAGTTTCGATTTTCGCACCGACCTCTATTTTGAAAATAAGCGATTTGTCGATTTGATGAAGGGGAGTTCTGTCGTTTTGGAACGTCATATCTCCAGGAAAAAGTTTCGATTTTCGCACCGACCTCTATTTTGAAAAAAAAAAGCGTAATGTAACCCCTTGCCATTTTGTCGATTTGGGTCAAAATTTTGGATTTCCTTTTTGTGATGCCAATCGTTAGAACTGATCCTTACGAATCAAAAATGGTATAAAATTCCAAAATCGGACATTATTTGACGGAAATATTGCAAAAAACCATCAAAAAGGTTGAATTTACGAACGAATCGGTTTTTTGTCAACAACATTGTTCAACCCATCGATGATTAATTTGTTTGAATGCCAATTGATGGTAGGGATCCGTACGCATTCAAATAGGTATA